TTGACAGTTGCAAATTACGCCAACTGCAGCGCAGGCAACAGCAAAATAGTGACATAGCAATTAGCTTTGGCAGCTATGCTGTCTGAGTTGCCAACGTCATGTGCTCAACCCCATTTAAAGCTCGCTGCTACATTATAAGACAATGGTAGAAATTAGAAATTTAAGTCATCTATTAGTATTTTGGAAGAATTTATCATTTTGACAAATTTTTCCAAACTATCCRCCTAAATTTAAACTTCGAAGTCAAAGTGGACTATAGAAACTAATTATTTTTTATCAAGAACTTTGAAGCCACACGTGCTAACTCAAAGCTCACTGCTACAAACTTTCTAGGCGGAATTTTTAAAATGTTAATATTAAAAAAATTAAATGTCATTGTTTTATTTTGTATATGTATTGTATATTTAAATTTAATTGGAGTTTGAATTGTTGTCATTGTTTTTTAAATTAATTAGCTAAATTTAAACACTTAAGTAAACGCGTGTTCATTATGCATATTCACTTTCGTTTTCGTATGCTTTCCTTTCGCATAATTGTAATTTGTATATAGTATTATTAATTACTCGTAAGTTCGAATTAAAATCACTCAAAAAATGTGCTGCTCTTTTTTCTTCTTTTTTTTCGTTTTACATGATCTTGTTGTTTTCATTTGATAATCGGAATTGTAGCTGGAATAAACGACGACACACAGTACACGACATTCATAGCTAATAATGATAATTTGTAATAAAGTCTAATAAGGAGCTGAAAGTTTAGGATTAGATCAACAAATACAACGGCGACAAAGAGATCAAAATGCATATTAACGATTATTGGCAGCGGCCAACGTCACAACTCATACGTAATATTATTCATATGATCGCGAGTCTTACGCGCCTTAAACGGCGCCGCAAAATGCTCATAATCGTAGGCGATGTCCGCATTGTAAGAGCTGCAGCGACGCAAGCGATGGTGTGGTACGAAGGAGCTGCTGTAGGGCGCCTGGCTGCCTGGGCCGGCGCCAAAGCAGCGCATTGCCGCGCACAGCAGGGTGCACCAGCGCCAGCTGGGGAAGGCGTAGAACTGATGCGATCCATTACTGTTTTGGCCCTTCTTGGCCAGCAAGGGCTGGCGACTGTGATGCACATATGGATTATAGTTGGAGCGAAAGCTGTTGTCGCTGCTGTTGCCGCTGTCGTCGCCGCTGCTGCTGTCGCTGCGCCGCAGACCCAAACGGAACAGATTGCCGTTGTTGTGCGCCGCATTGGCGAAGTCCTCAAAATCCAAATGTGAATCCTTCTCGAAATCGCGATCAATGGAAACGGCGGGCGTGATGATCATGAATTGACTATATTTTCGGTTATGGCTCGGCGCCGGACGATGTTGGCTGTGGCTGTGGCTCTTACTGGTGCCAGCACTGCGTTGATTGGAAATGGAGTTCAATAGCGTCTGATTCGTATCAACCGAGGAGTAGCTATTGCTATTCGATGTTGGTGACATATCATTGTTGTTGTTATTACTATTACTAGCCCCGCCGCCGGCGCCACCACCGCCGCTGCTGCCATTGTTGTTATCATTATTATTGCTATAGCTATGATTGATGTTGTTGTTGTGCGTGTTAAAAACTCCTGCCGGTGCCGGCTGCTTGGTGGTCACCACCGCCTGCGGTTGCGGCAGCTGGTGCATCTGCTGCGGTTGATAGTGATGATACTGCAACTGCAAGGACAACGGTAAACGGGGAACTGGCTGTTGATATTTTTGGGCGAGCTTATGCCGCCGYTTGGCAACTGGAGCTGGAGCTGGAACTGGAACTGGAGCTTTAACTGCGACTGTGGCTGTGGCTGTGGCTTTCACTGTGGCTGAGGTCTGTTGCGGTTGCTGCGGTTGCGCTATTGCCAATGCTGGCAAGGTTGTTGTGGGCGTCGAGCCAACCGAGGGCATCCATCATCTTGTTTCCTCCACACCGCTATCATCGGGCTTCACAATTTGATAGGTTATCAAGTACTCTGGATAAGACTGCAAAGCACAAACAGTTAGTAAAACATATAGAGAAATTCAACTCATCTAATGCTCACTTGTTCGCCACGATAGACAACGTATTCAGCAAAGTGTAGGCCGCCTGTCGACGGGCGCCCAACCACCGAATGATGGCCGGGCGGTGCGTGTGCCATCTTCATGGCGCTGTACTGCAAAAATGACTTGCCCAATGCAACGCGACATAGCAGGAGTTGTCTAAAAGAATGAAAAAAAATTTTGTTAGCGAGAGATCCTCAAATGACTATTGGTTAAGCATTACCTGGGACACACATAGCAGGACTTGTCYTTGTGCGCTGGACAGCCGATGCCGCCGCCTATGCCATACACATATTGATTGCTCTTCGAGCTATGCTCGGCGAAATAAATGCCCGCTCCAAACATGCCGCCAATGTAGGCGTGTCGCTCGTCGAAGCCCCGCTGCACAATGGCATTGATGAAGGGGCTGCCGTGGAAGAGCATACGCTCGTTTGACTGCATAAAGTTCTCCTCGGCAATCTCCTGGCGTCDATGCGCATAGCGTTCCCACAACTTACGATTCTGCACYTTTTGCACCTACMAAATTGAGAATTGAGAAATRGAAATTATTAAAAGCTATCGAGACTTAAGCGGATTTAGACATACCCTAACTATGTGATAGCGCACGAAATAGCCGCCAGCTTGTCCATTGTCACGATGCTCGCGTATGGTGGCTTGCATYTCCTCCTCGACGGCGACAAACTCCTTGTCATCCGGCAACAGATCCACCAGCAGCGTGCACAGATTAACATTGTTGCCAATGCCTGTCAAGAGTTTACACTTGAGCAACAGGAGCATGAGGAGGACTTGAGCTACTTACCCGTTGTGGCTCGCAGCTGGGCGATGCCCTTGAGTATCTTGTGTCGGAAACCGTAGGCGGACACGCCCACTTGCTTGAGATCATCGTGACCCATTTCGGCCAGTATATCCAGCGTGATTTGCTCCCGCTCGAACAGCTCGATCAGATGATGCAGCTGCTGGCTGCTCAAGAAACTRGACACATTCGTTATCGACTCCGGATCGGACAGGAGTTCCTCACTGCTGGAGCTCTCCGCGCCATGCGCTTCAGCGCCCTGTGCTGGACTGAGACGAGTCGCACAGCTATTCAAAGGCAACGGCACTGGCACACTGAGCGTCATGGATGCGCCCGAGGGCAGTAGAACTGTCTCCGTGGTGGGTGCGAGCAAGGCGGATGCTGATCCCGATGCACTTCCAGTGCACGGCACAGCTGCAGCTGAGTTGGCACCTGCGGCYCCATCTTGCGCCGGTAAGGTGCTCGCCAAGGATTGCGTGGAAGCATTGAGCGCATGCTGGCTGAGCGATGTGGCCATGGCATCCTGTAGCAGACATTTAACATCGTCGGCTGTGGCCAGCTCGATAGGTGTTTGTCCCTCCTGGTTTTTCATATAGGCATCGGCGCCATGGGCCAACAGCAAGGAGCAGAGCTGCGTGCGYCCTTTCTGCGCGGCCTCGTGCAGCGGCGTAAAGCCCCATTTGTCGGTGGCGTTGACCACCGTCTTGTGCTTGATGAGCAGCGCAGCAATATCCAAGTGCCCATAGGAGCTGGCGTTGTGTAGGGGTATGAGTCCGCCCTTGTCCTGGGCATTGACATCGGCGCCATGCTCYAGCAGATATTCGGCRCACTCGAAATTGTTGTAGCCAGCGGCCAGATGCARCGGYGTYGAGTTGCGTCCATTCAAATCCCGGCAATTGATCGTCTCCGTTGTGACGAGGCGYTGCACTCGCGCCAAATTCCCCTTTTTGGCCGCATCCAGCAGCGCCGAGGGACCGCGCAGCAGCTCGGCCACATCGTGATCCGAGTCCTTGACGAGGTCAGCAGGTGTGGCACCATCACGATTCTTTTTCATCGGATCTGCACCGTGCTTCAGCAGCAGCTTGCATATATCGTACTTCCCCTTGGCGGCTGCCTCGTGCAGCGGCGTAAACTTCCACAAATCGGAGACATTGACATTGGCGCCGTGCTTGACGAGCAGCTCGGTGACTTCGTAGTGGCCATACGAGCAGGCATTGTGCAGCGGAACGAGTCCACCCTTGTCTGCCGCATGGACCTCMGCGCCATGCTCCARCAGGAATTGCACGACTGGCACCCGATTAAAGCCAGCGGCAAAATGCAGTGGGGTTGAGTGCCGTCCATCCAGATCCCTGCAGTTGACCGTATGTGGATTGTTTAGCACAATCCGACGCACTGCATCCAAGTCGCCAGCCTTGGCTGCCTCGAGCAGATTGGACTCGCTGTCTGGCGGATTCTTCAACAGCTTCAGCACGCTATCCGAGGCCAGCTGTGCCGCTGTCAGACCCTCCAGCGACACAATGTTGGTGTCCACCGCATAGGAGAGAAGCAGACGCACCGCCTGCTCGTCGCGTGCACAACGATGCAGCGCCGTCTGGCCAAGGCTATCCAGGGCGTTTACCTTGGCGCCCTGCTTTAGCAGCGCCTCCATYGCATCGTAGTGCATCAGCTCGGAGGCCAGATGCAGCGGCGTGAGGAACGCCTTGTTCTTCTCATTGAGCAGCGATCCTTTACGTATGAGCAGCTCCACCARCTGCTTGCGTTTCGCATCCTGACAAACGGCCGCCAGATGCAGCGGCGTATCTCCCGTGTACGGATGCACGAAGTTCACGATTTCGGCACAAACGAGTTTCTTGACGCGCGACAAATCGCATTTGCGGCACGCGTCCAGCAGGCAGTGTCCTTTATACTCAACTGCAACGGAAGAACGAAGTGAGTAAATTGATTATTGTAATGGAAATAAATATCATTATATTACTATTAAATTCCAGTTATACGAATTAAAAAATACATCGTTTTTAAACTGCGGCTTTTTATAAAAAAAATCGCTTAAGGGAAATGCATTAAAATAAATATGAAAAATATTAATATGATATATATGTATTTA